CTACATAAGTTGTAACAGCCAGGCTAGCTTTGGAATGGAACTTGGATAAATAATGTTTCTCAATAGGATGTGAAATATAGAGCCTCAATTAAAACATATAATGTCACCTTACAATCATTTTACATGAGCCTAACAACACAAAAGGAGGAAGGGTAGAGTCACTGGCCAGCAGTCATTGATGGTGTGAGCGATGACTTCAAACCACCCATGTTTGCGGAGCAGAACATTTTGTTTTCCTTCGGCCCATTTTAACCGATGGGGCGAATTATCAGTGATACTGAGGTTGCTCCTATACGCTTGCTACTACTGAGACTCACGTTTCCAAAACGAGCCGCACCATGATTACTCATGCACTTACAGTATGACTTACAGGTTGACGTTTGACTATAGAAAAAAAGACAATGAACAACGTAGTTTCCAGTATTTTTCATAAGTTTTATACTTCTTCCTGAATCTTTGACTGTAATGCGCATACATTTAGCTTCTTACTTCAAGTCTTCTTCTATCCACTTTACACACATCACAACCCTTCCTTCTTCATTGATATACAGCTTAATTTGTGGTCTGCTTTACTACAAAATATGTAAATTTTGGAGGTCAGTATGAACTTTATGCTGACTAACCACTTCATTGTCTACATCACCACGAAAGGTCAAACAGTGTTCTGGTTATATATATATATATATATATATATATATATATATATATATATATATATATAATCCATTTTGAAGGCTTCGTTTTTGGGAAAATACCCCCATGTATATATTTGTGTTATGGTCTTACTGACTCTTTCTGTTCAATATTTTGATACTCCGTTTAGTCCCAGTTTGGGATGTTAATATTTGTGTTTTGTTATAATTCCTATTTTTGTACTCATATTGGAGTGTATATGTTCGGATTTGATTCCTCTGCGGTAACTTCTTATACTTGACTGGAAGGACGCATTCTACCAGGATTGGAAACCCATTGTGTTGATTTCGGATCGGAACAGTACAATATTGTTTAGGTAACTGTCTATGTTGCATTTTGCTTAATAATAGAGCCATTCTTACCCAGAAAACTTGTGTTTTGAATTCGAACCGGGCAAGGCGCGTTTCTGGCTTCAAAATGTTTCCGAAATCAGGGTTAAAGGAAGTGAATTTTCTACAATATATATATATATATACAAAATTGCCTTGTTGTTGTTTTTTGCTCTCTCTTGTTCCTTCTCGGGACCCTACTCAATGTTGAACATCTATAATGCCTCCACGCAAAACGTACCTTCTGTACGCCCACGTCTTGGTCACAGCTTGTTTCAAGAGCATTCCATTTGGCAGTTCCCAGCCATTTACTCCAAAATTATGCTCACCCTTCAAGAACGTATAGCGAAATGTGCCTATTTACAGCGAAGTAACTAAGTAAAATCCCATTGACAACCGTAGGTCGTTGGTCCATTCGTGATTTGAGTTAGAGGTATATTTGTTGGTGGTATTGTCAAATCGAAAGAATTTCAAGATCCAAACAAATGTTACGGGCGAGACTATCGAGGCAACGTGAGCAATGTCAGGTTCACGTGCTGAGGAATATAATGGTTTCTGATACAGATAAACAAAGGAGTACAGCACAAATTTCACTGATACAGCTGGTCAAAATAATAAATGTTTATGTTAAATCATTCGTGTCCTTTTCATAAAAGTTGAGCCACTAGGACGGAACTAGATTGAGCGAAGGGGCCAGAAACGACAGTTCGAAATATTCGTATGCCAGACATATTCGGAACAAAATTATCAACTCAGTGCATTGACAAGAGCGTCGGTGGTAAGGCCAGCTTTCACCAAGTTTGACTAGAGTCAACGGTACCAACAGGTCAGTGCCCGTGGGCGTGGGCTGAGGATAAGAAACATCGGAAAGAGAAAGGCGTAGCATGTGTGTAGTATGAGAATAAGGTCCTATACCGTATCCGTTGTTCATTGAGATATTAGTCGTGAAGACGTACAGGTAGGAGTATGCGGTGCCCCGGAACGTGAGACCAGTTTGTCATCCGTAGATAGTGTAGATGGCGCGTGCTGTTGACTGTGACGTGCGAATAAGGTGTCTGATTTGTCTAGCGTGGGACTCGAAGTAGCTTTAAGGATCCCGCTAGAAGGCTTGATAGGTCTAGTATTGGGTCTCGGATTAGCAAGTAGGGCACTGTCATCGACGCGTGCTGGCTTGAGACGATCATTGCTGATTATCTTGACGCAACCATGTCGAGCAAACTTGAAGGTCTTTTCGTGCCGAGAATTCACGTGAAAATGTCCTTCATAAGGCTCTTGCAAAGGTTTGCGTACCGAATCGACTCGTATGAAAATGTGCTCACAGGTCAATAACTCTCGAGGGAGAGCGATCTGTCGATGTTGTACTCGAGTTGACACAGGAGGCGGCGCCCGCATGCATTCAGACAATCGTTGGACGTAGTCTGATTTATTGGAGTTGTCACTGCTCCATGGTGTGAAAAATTCCCCAGGCAGATCCAGTGTCGTGCCGCGTACAATTCAGCGGCAGAACAATGAATATCTGCCTTTAAGCTCGTTCTGATACAGAAGAGGACGAGCGATAAGGTTTCGTACTAGTTATTGTTTTCGTGTGCTGGAAGAGCACTTTTAAGTTGGCGATGAAACCGTTTAGCTGAACCACTCGAAGCTGTGTGTTAGGCGGTAGTGCGTATGCATTCCGTACCAAGCAGCCGGGTTAGCGAAGAGAATAATTCGGACCCGAATTGTTGTCCTCGGTCAGTTGTGACACTCAAGGGACAACCGTATTTCACTATCCATCGTTCTACGAAGCGGTGAGCAACTGTTTCCGCCGTAATAGAAGTGATGGGAACAACTTCGTGCTATCTTGTGAAACGATCGATGCACGTGAGTATGTGATCATGCCCATGCGATGGTGGCGATAGTCCAACAATGTCAGTATGGACATGATCGAAGCGAGCATCAGGTGTAGCAAATGTGCCGATAGGGGCGGCTACGTTCCTGTTCACTTCTGATCGTTGACATTGTGAGAATTGCTTTACCCACATACGGACATCGTTGTTCATGGAAGGCGAGACGTATCGTGCAGCGATGAGAAGTAATGTGGCTGCAATACCTGGATGAGACAAACCATGATGGCCATCGAAGACGAGACGACGATGAGCAGAATGTACGATGGGTTGGGGTAAACCAGTAGAATTATCACACAGGATGATACCTGACGTGGTAGCCAGTGGTACTTCCTGTAACAGAAGGGATGTCGATTGCTGTGCTTCTCTACAAGAGGATCATTTGCATAGGCGGCGGCCATAGCAGGTAAAGTAACTGCATTCACTTGAATACGTGAGAGAGCATCGGAAACATAGTTCGACTCGTCTTTAAAATGACGAAGTTCTGTCGTCAACTGAGAGATATAGTCCAAATGTCTGCACTCTCGTGGTGAGTAGGGGTCAGGCTTCGTATGCTAAGCATACGTCAGAGGCTTACATTCGGTGAAGAGAATAAAGTTACGACCTTCTACTACGTGCCGGAAATACTTGATGGCACAGTAGGCTACCAGTAGTTCGCGACCAAAAACGCTAAATCTCGTTTCAGTAGGAGTAAGGTGTCGTGGGAAAAATTCTAGAGGTTGCCAACTCGCAGCGATGTTCTGTTGTGTAACGGCTCCTATAGCGAATTCTGGTGCGTCAATCGTTATACTAAGCGTAGCTGATGGGTCAGGATGGGTGATAAGCGTGACTTTAGCTAAAGCATTTTCCTTCTCACAAAACGCAGAACGCGCGGCATCGTTCAATTCCAGTGTGCGTGGATTACCGTGATGTAGGCCGGTTAGTGGTCGTAGCTCTTCTGTCGCGTGAGGAATGAAACGTCTGTTGAAGTTGACCGAACCGAGAAAAGCCTTCAGTCCTTTGAGTGAGGATGGTACAATGTACTCCATGATTGTACGTACTTCATCTTCACAAAGTAGAATAGTCTCATGCCTAATGATGTGACCCAAGAATTTCATCTCTTCCTTGCACAGTTCACACTTATCTTGGTTGAATATTATTCTATTATCCGAAAGGCGTTTGAATAAGAGTGTAAGATGTTGATAATATTCACCTACGTTTGATGATTCGAATAGCTGGTCATCAATATAGACGTGAACAAAATCGAAATCTTGTACTGTGCTATCGATAAACCTTTGGAAAGTTTGAGTAGCATTCCGTAATCTAAGTGGCATTCGTAGGAACGCAAAGACCGAAAGGAGTCGTGACTGCAGGTTTTATAAGTTCGAGATGGAACGTGTAAAATGTCTTTTAGTGTGAGGGTAGATGAAGACATCAATTTGGCCTAATGTGATTCGACGGGACGCTAAATATTTCTGAGCAGAAAAATGAAAGCATTGTACAAAAACCTCATCACAGTACCTCACAAGACAGTTCACGATGAACAGCACATCACGCAACCTGTAGTCAAATAAAGTTAACTTGTGTCGCTAGGATTCAGGTCTATCTGTAATGTTCTCTGAACCGACAAGACTACAGCCCTATTCGATATACAGCCTTAAGGAGATGCTTGACATTCACTCAATACCCATAGCTCACCGTACTTTGCTAGAAATAGTTTTATCTGAGGCAAGTTTCGAAAATTTCAATTACTGTCACTATCACGATTACTATTATCATCACTAATATCATTATCATTACTACAACTGCTATTAGCACTTCTCGTATGTACAAACCGTTTGTATAAACCTTTTTATTTGATAATTATAACCGCTTTCAACGTTTCTCTATATTCCAAGTTTAATAAACTTATTGTGACATACTAATTTCCTGACTGGGAATTCGACAGTTATTGGTCAGCTGAACCACAACATCTATGGATGAATCCATTAATTAACTGTCGTATGCACTAGGATTAGCACAGCTGAGTGGATGGATGCCCTACATTTTACTATACCATAGACTAGGAACTGTTACCTATCAACAAAGAATAAATGCAAATGAATCAGCTAGTTTCAACAAGGTCATCAAAAAATTGGCCATTGATTAGAATACTAAACTATTGAACATATGTACTGATCTACATCTACTGATTTGAAAATATTGCTTCCTAAAGGACTGTTGAAGTTACTCATTTACGCTTGAATCTATCTTAACATCTGAAGGTAATGAATTCCTCATAATCTAACTTTTTTTGCTTCATGTTCGTTCCTTTTCATTCTTTCAAGTTGATTGTACTGTCGACTCAGTATCGCATCTGATTGTTGGTCAAATACGTGGTAGTTACTTTACTATAGAATGGACGAAACCACTCCTCTGGTGTCTTCCGGTAACCGTTCATTCAAAGAAAACTTTTAATAAATAGATAACTATGTTGGACGCTCGGTTGTCAAGCCAGCCATTGAGCGAGCAGTTATTAATGATGGGGATTCCCAGGCGACAGTGAACTGTCAAGTATGCAGACAAGTTGTTACTTTTACTCCTCGTGAAAGGCAAATGGTGGTCCGATGTCCACACTGCTCTGAGGCAACGGTACTTACCTTCCCTTCTAACGTACGTTCTAGCCTATCAAAGGTCCACCGGCCGGCAAGCAGTATGTTAGATGCCCTTGCAACTGCTTACTTGTCTGCAATGAATCTACTAGCAAAGTTGGATGCCCTCGCCCAGAATGTCAAAAGGTTATTGTTATTCGTGAAGTAAGTACTCTAAAATGATACCTTAGTTCTCAAATTTACACGTAATTGAACAAAATTTACTTAGTGTCTCTTAACGTGAACTTTATCGCGACAGAATAGGCTTTAATGGTGATTAGTTTACTTTACGATCTCAGTTGTCAATGAAAACGTACTGCATTATAATTGGTTATCTGTGAGTAAGTTTTTAGTCACACTTGGATCAATGCTCGAATGGGTATATGAACTTACGTTAGGTAACAGTATTTTTGCCATTTAACTATTAAGGAGAAATTCACTTGTGGTACCCTTATCTTTCTGAGACTAAGACCCTGGGTGCAGTCATGAACAACATAGCGTTAGCACAAGCTGCATATACTATCTATCAAAAAGGGAATGAACAAAGGAGTTGAAATACTAGTAATGTTGGTGAAGGTTAATCTATGCGTAATTAGTATAGTACTGGGAAAGTAAGTTTTACTCTCCATTTTTTCTCCTGAGTCTCTTTCAAAATTTAGAGTTTCGTTGTCTTCAGGAGTTATCTGATGCTTTGAAAAACTGGACAGTCGTTCAAACACACTTTCTTAAGAAAGTTTGTTATATACCATTATTTTATTGCTTATTTTAAAACTAATATTGGTACAAGTTGGTGCCAAAATATTTATGCGCCATACAGTGATAATGAGGTTATAAAAAGATAGAAGAAGGACGGTCCGTATAACAATAAAGTGGATTGAAATTTGTGGATGAGAATGATGTAATAGCATTATTAGTGGGGGCTATAGTTAAGTTAAAGAAAGTACGACCAGAAATGATCCTTTCGTTTAAAGCTCTCACTTACTGCTGCATCACTACTGGCTTTAATTGTGAGCCTCTAAGTTGCTCGATCTGTAAGACCCCAACCAAATAGTCATGAAGGACCAGCGAATGCCAGTCCTGTCTCATACCGGGACACCATGTCATACTTTGTCTATTTCTCGGACAGGTTTCCGAGTTGGCAGGTAATGTACAATATGGAGTTCGCTGAGTCGGTGTCCGTAATGCATATCCATGCCACTGAAGTTAGTGACACCTATCGCATTCTCGTTGCTTTGCCCAAATACACGTTAATCTCTGTATAACTAACATGGTGTTGCCACTGAATATCAGCAGTCGTTTGGAGATAACGATGATCAAACACAGAAAGCTTTACAATATCTTCAACTCGGAATTTGAGAGAACACAAAAAGTGGATGCATCTACGCCATTGCAAACGATTTCGAGACATGTCGTTCAAGGTCTCTAACCATCGGTCATTATCGTCGCGCTGACCCCAACCACGTAGTCTGCATCTACCAACATGACTGAGTCAACTTGTCATTGACTTCATGGATTTGTGCCATGCTTTGGTTCGGCCACCCCTAGATTTCTTCCAACCTATCCCTACACCACATGCATCTCGTCGAGGCAGTCGGTCGTTGGGCATACGTAACACATGTCCCAACCACCTCAACTGATGAAGTTTCAATACTTTATCTATTAATCTGCCTTCCCTACCTACTACTCGTTTCCTAACGACAGCATTACTTACTCGGTTGTCCCATGACACACGAGCAATGCTTCGAAGGCATCTATAATCGAATACTAATAACCTACAAATGTCAGTTCTTACCGGCTATGTTTGCATTTATATAGTAGGACAGAGCGAGCTGCCAGTCGAGCCGTCTGTATCCGTGCTGAGATTTCGTCAGTCACCAGGCCGTTAGCACTGGTGAGATTCCCGAGATAAGTGTAGCGGTCAACAGGCTCGACCGCTTCACTACCTATCATTAGTTCAGGTGTCAACTTAAGACAATCTTGAAGCAATATTTCTCATTTTGAGGGGAGAACCTTATCGTGAACATGCTTGCATTGTTGCTTAAGGTGGTCAGAAGACTGCATTTTGTCAGCGTCTTCATCAAGTAGAAATATGTAATCGATATATGCTAAGTCAACAAGCGAGTCTCTTAGTAATAGGTTCACTCCTGAAAATTCAGACGAAGATAACGTTATATCTACAACGAAGAAAGTGGACATCCGTGGTGGACACCACTTGAAGCAATCAATTCCGAAGACAATTTGCCATAAGCTCTAACTCGAACAGTTGTGTTCGAGTAGAGAGCTTGTATAAGGTTAATGTACTTCTTTGTTACACGTCTTAAAGACAGATACTGCCTCAGAATTTCATGGAAAATATACTAACGACTTTCTTATCATTAAGTAGAACCCTAAGAGGTTTTCTTGTGGTGTCTTTCCTAAGTTCAGTAAGCCGCAAACAAATACGTGCTCTCACTAGAGCACGTTCTGAATTCTAACATGTGCTTGAGAACAAGCGACAGTCCCCTAATGAACCCCTCCACCTGTGGCTGATAGAGATGTGATCTAGTTGGGACTGCTTTGGGAGTCGCCATGTGAAAAGATGTTTATCCTTGTGCTTACAGTTAGCATTTGCTAGAAATAGGCAATTATCTGAGCATAATTGCAGTAGAGGGAGGCCGTTATGTAATCTTAGCTCCATGAACCCATAAGATCCACCAAGGCGACCTTCCTTATCACCCAGCCTACCCACTTGAGCATTGAAGTCACCAGCCACTATTACTATATCAGAGCGCCTAGCTTTTTGGAGGTCCGAACGCTTTCTGTAAAACTCATCTTCCACCTCGTCTGAACTGCAGTCATAGGGAGCGTAGGTAGATATGACGAAGAGGACACGGCGAGTGTACCTATCTTCACAAGTGCTAACTTACATTTAGTCGGACAGCGCATAAGCGACTATCTAATGGGATCCAGTCTAAGAAAGCTGCCGTAGGGCTCAATGCTATACTCACACCAGCGAGGCTACAGGAAGCAGCAGCAGGACTTCCAGATACACGAAGCGTAAACTGAGTTGGTTTTTTATTTGAACAATGTGAACTCAAGTTAATCACTGTGCTTGGGTCCTGTATACGCGTTTCCGAGACGCAGCATACATCGATGACACGAGATTCTGAAGTCCTAGCTAAGGAAGCTTGTTGTCATATTTGACACAATGTCTAGACATTAAAAGCTCCAATATGTATTTCAAAACGTGGCTTTAGATGACCAGAAGTAACGTTTCGTGAATTCGGATCGTTTGCAACAGCAGTGCGGGGTGACAAAGTAATGAAATGAGAGTTGGTCATGTATATAGGAAGGTCATTAAGATGTGTAGGAGGGATTTGATTGTGACTTATTTGGTCTCATGTGTTTTTGTGGGTATGAGGGCGGTTGTCACTTCCCGGCTGCCCATACGATGGAAGAGTGTTTCTTGGGAGACCTGAAAAGGAAATTAGATCAGCCTTGGTTTCGGAGACTTGGAGGCATGATTTCAGAGCCTAAGGGACAACTGCCTGAGACCGATCACGCACGGCCTTCTTATGAGATGTTTTGGGAGTCTTAGCTCCACTTTTCATATGGCCTAACCTGCGGTTACGGAACTCCGTGATCTAAGGTGAGGTGTGATATTTTTAAGGTTGACCCTAACCCCTTCCTTCCGTGTGAGAAGGCAGCATCACTGCCAGTGCTGGCTGTCCGAGGGGAACGCCTTATTGCCGTCACAACTGTTTACAGTCAGCAGTACCACTTCACTTTCAGACCTTGAGTTGCTGCTTTAAGTATTACGGTTCTCTAATTGTCCTACCTGTCATGGTAGATCATAAATAAACATGTTCCACCCAATATAGCTCGGTTGGGTCATCACCATAGACAAGCCCGATCACCGCGACAAGGTAGCAGCTACGGTCTGCAAGATGATTATTGATACTCGACTGTATATTCAACAACATTGTTTGTCAGGGAGAAGCATAGTAATCGAGTAATTCAACCAGGTAAGGGCTGACAATTTAACTGTAATCATATTAAAACCTTCAGCAACTTGTTGAACTAACTTACTAGCATCAATCAGGTCTGTTTACTTTCCGGATTATTATTCAATCTCACAGTAGATGTTCTGACAGAAATCAACCTCTCGAACCTTCATTTTTTAATAAGTGATCTACTCGAAGGATCATCTATAAATTTCAAGTGCACTGATAAATTAGTTGTGCTTCATAAAAAGATAACATTTTTTATGTCTCACTTTACTAGTCTTTTTCGTCATATGAATCTCATTTAGGTTTTTCTATGAAGCGTGACGATTGAGTTCATTAAACGTTAGTTCTAATTGTTTGATGTAGCTAGATTTGTTATTCAGTTGTATAGTCAGATTCAGCTAGTTTGTTTGTTTCACTTCCTTTGGGATAATTGATTCGTAAATCATGAAAGCGAATGTTGATTTTGGCGTATACTAATGAATGGTCAGTGTGTATGCACGTCCAATTGATTTTTAGCTAATTGCACTATTTAGTTTTAAAATTAATTGTCTGTCAGAGTATTAAGACTGCCAGTAAATATTGTCAAAAATGACCTGTACTGTGCGTAAACTTCGAGGAAACAGTTCGTTTTTCATTTAAATTAGTTGCTATACTATGACTAATATATATCACCGAAGAGGACTGATACTATTCAGAATTCACCGTTATACCTATAGGGTTCCCGCCATTCCAAAGATAAAATACAACTAATAATAATAATAGATGACCTGAAAACATGTACTGACCGTCGTTTTTTCTCTTTTAAACAAACTAATATCACAGAATAATCGGTGATTATTTTAGATGTTTATTTTTAGTTAACTGTAAGTTAGATAAAGTGGTTAAAGTATACGCTGCTGGTATCCCGTTTTTCTAAGTTCACTACACTATAAATTCAGAATGGTGTTTTTTCACTTTTTACTCTATGCAAATAGTTTATCATATTTCGTTTTATAAGAATATAAAAATAAAATATATTATAAATGGGGTAGTTCGGATATTGTAATTAGTCGAGACTAGATCAATTTATTCATACTTTCAAATTCGAATATGTCCCTATATGTACGTAGGTTTGCTGAACACAAGTGTTCTATAAGTGTTATTCAAACGGTCAATAATGACAAACTTAATTTTGCATGTTGGTTAGTTATGATTCATTCTTAAAATTAGAGTTTAAACCATCCAGCCACTATGTGTATGTGGTAGTAAAAACTAATTTAGTCTACGTATTTGTATTTATAACTTAATCACCAGGTATTTAGTGCACTCGACTATGAGGCACTGTTTATATGTTTTTTTTCTAAGTACTCGAGCTGAAGTAGACAAGGCAATGTTCCTAGTCAGTGACCTAGTCAAATTCAGGAACAAACGAGTATCAATAAAACTTTCCCTTTTAAGCTGTTGTAGGCTGTTATCTTTACGTTACTGGTTTTACTGCACACATATATCGTTCGTTCTAGTTTGCCATTCATTGTTGGTCTCGATTATTCGGGTAGTTAAACATTTTCCACTTTGTTTTTGGTTTGTAATAGGAAGATGGTATGGGATTTATGGGTGGCAACAATAGGTTTCTACAAGGTCCAGCCACACACGGAACATTTGGTACTCCTCAAAGTCTACGACTGTCATGCGGTTATTGTAATTCACCATTTTCCATACCATCACCAGAATCTCATTCGTTTGGGCGTGCAAATGCACTAATTGCACTTCTATCTGGTAGAAACGCTTCCAGTGCTGCAGGACTCATAACAGCAAGGTGTCCACATTGTCACAAAGTTTCATCTGTTGGTCCAGCCTTTGCTCGAGCGCACTGGATAGGTTATAGTATATTTGCTGTCATTGCTATTATCATAGCCATTAGTGTAACTGCGGGGACAGCTGAAGCCGCGATAAAAAACAACGCTTTGTACTTTCTTTGGTCAAGTAAGTTTATAGTCTTGGTTATATAGTATTTGTCTTTTCATAACGGGTGTGTCATTATTCTAACAGTTTAGGTCATTGATTAGTTATAAGGTCTTTCCTTGTAGTAAATACTCAGTGATAGAAAAATTGTCTACGTTATAAGATCTTTGTAATAAGTAATGGATTATGATTACTGCACATATTTACTGTTAAGTGATGTTCGCTCTACCGTTAATAGTACATTGTACATTGTCCATTCAAATGAATCATTTTAACGATCCTCTAAATTTACGTCAACCATGTTGGGCAAATAAGCCAGTTTTTCGTCCACTCCTACCGCAAATGCCTAGGTTTGATCTAAAGCAGGGAGAGTCCGCTCTCCCACTCGACATGCTCTCATATGACCGTGAGTATATATCCACTGACAGAAATCCTGCTCGATACCTCGCAGCCGGGGTGTTGTTTAGGAAATTCAGAGGATACAAATGGACTGTTTGGTGCACTAACCGGGTAAGTGGACACGGATGATCCACGTAGGAGAGTTGGAAAACTTTAATTCTAAGCCAATGGTGCACACTGGCTCCAAGATCCGGATGGAACGAACGACGTAGGAACTTGCTGTTAGTCTTTGGTTACCATAGGACTGCATCTTCTTGGGTTGCTCCACTGCCTTGTATCAAACGCCCGGGGAGTGACCCCTTAAGAAAATCATCTGCTTCGGTTTGAGCAGTATCACAGCTCACTCAAACTCAATAATTTGTGTGGCGCATAAATAGTCAGTTACCCTTGTGCCCAATGTCTGTGTTTAAGTAAGTTATTTACTCTTATATTATAGACAGTTCTGTTGATATGATATTGAAGTCCGACCAATGTTTTTAAATATTGATGATGAATGTTATCATTTCGAAGCATCAAGTTTTGTAACGTGCTGATACGATTTACGGATATCCTGGCTCTCCCCATATACTGCATTATTTACTGATTGTATGAATGAGTGGGAAGGGCGGAGAGGTACTTGGTTCACGGTATGATTATGTGGAATAAGGTGTACTACTTTATGATGGTCTATTAGTTATCCATAACTTGATTGATTGGTGCATACAACTTTATGTCTTGGCACGTAGTGACTCTGCTGTATATTTCTACCATCCAATTAGTCGGTCATAAATAATGTGAACCTGAGAGAAAAGTGTATCGGTCCAAGTTACTACATCACAGCACAGATAGATGAGTACCTGAGTAGTAGTATTAGAAGTAGTAGTCTCGGAGTTTGTAAGAAACCATTGAGGATAGAGAATATGGTTCTAGAAGAATAAGTTTGTAGAATAAAATGTTAGAATACTAAGTAAAGGTAATCTTGGATACCTATTGGGTATGGATAAAAACAATCTTTCTCTTATAAATACTCAAACCGACACTTATCCTTGGTGACTAAATTGAATTCCTTTCACAGCTTTACACATTCTTTTTCAGTTAACCATCTATTAACCTTTTTTACTTCATAATTTATTGCATTATTTTGTGATTTCTTTCCAATTACAATAATAGCTTCGACAATTCTACCTCTTATTTCTATTTAAACAGTTCTCTATCTAGTTGCCTTAATTCTACTGTCCCGTGCAGTAGTATTCATGATTATGCCGGTCAGTTCAGTGGAAGTACCTACTTTACAAATCTAGCTAAATAATTACTATGAAGACAATAAGAATAATCACATTTCAGAACAGTTCTTGCTTCTAATCCCGTCATGTTTCTTGTTAGCATATTGCTGATTTCTGAAGGGATGGTTAATCTTTAGAAGACAGAACTGATCAACATCATTTTGATTTATTTTTTTATTGGATTGGTCAGTATGTAATTAATAATTCCGAAATTCTATCACCGATAAATTTGCATACTGCGTTTACATCGTATTTTAATTTCAAAAAATCGTATGGATAATATACATTCATGTTTGTTGCAGACATCATAATTTTCTTCGCGTTGAGTAATGGTTATGTTCAAACTATATTTATTATCTGATTACACGAGTACACTGTAATTTCATCCACAGCTAACCGAATGTAGAGCAAGTTTTGCAAGCTGTCTATTAATCACGTGTATAACAACCGTAAAAACGTATTCTATATAGCCCCGGTTTTTCTTGTTAAATAATCATTTATTTTCTAATTATCTATTATATTTGTGGAATTCATCTCTTTGTTATCAGTATCATTATTTCATCTGTTACTTGATTAATTTTGCAATTAAGTCATGTTTATACAGCTAATGACTATTTTTTCTAATCCGTTGTTATAATAACAGGGAATCTATATAGCTCTACCATTACCTACTTAAGGCTGTTACCCCTAATCGGGCATAGGCTGCCTACCAGCAATCTCCAGCCAAGTCCTAGGCCTTTCTTCCCAGTTCAAACCAACTGCTATCCACTTTTCATGTCTGCCTCCGATCCTCGGCACCGTGTGTTCCTTGGTCTGCCTTTTTTCCTCTGACCTTACGGGTTTCAAGTTAGGGCTTGCCTTGGGATGCGGTTGGGGTGCTTTCTACAATGTGTCCTATCCACCTCCAGCACTTATCCCTAGTTTCTTCCTCAGCTGGGATCTGGTTTGTTCTTTCTCGTATTAGGTTGTTGCTGGTGGTGTCTGGCCAATGGACCCGGAGTATTTTGCGTAAACAACTGTTTACAAATACGTGTATCTTTTGGATGGCGTTTATAGTAGAACCCAACTTTGCGCTCCGTTCAATAGACCTTTCCTGACATGCTGTTTGATAATTGTTTTGAGTTCCAGATGTTCTTCAGTTATAGAAATGGGTCTCTTGCTTAGCCGATCCGGGTCTCTAAATCTACTTCGAATCTCCCTTGTTTATCAATCCTAACCACGTATGTAGAGGTTTCCGCATCTTCCAATCTTCTCCGTCGAGTGTGATTTAGTTGGTGTATGTAGTGTTGTGTTGGAGGCTCTTGCTTTTTCGCTTGTGCATATTGAGACCTACTAATACACAGGTCGCCTTCTGCATTTTTTATTGCGTGCAGGATATAAGGGCTTGATCGTTTGCGAAGTCCGGGCCGCCTAGATGCATCCGAGCTGTTCACTGTATCCCGCGCTATCCATCAGATGATGACGTCTTCAGATTGTAGTCTTCCACCAGGATATAGAGAAAGGATGGGAGTGAGCAACCTTACCTGACGCCGATTTTCACTTGGAATGAGTCTGTGGGCAGCCCTCCAGACATGATCTTGCAGTTCAATCCATCTTGAGGATTCCTTGTAATGTTGACTATCTTTTCGGACCCATCATAGCGTTAGATAAGCCTCAATATCATGCTCTCAAAAGTGTAAAATGCTTTGTAGTAGTAAAGGAAGTTGATGTATAGTGGTGAGTTCCATTCACATGATTGTATTACATTTATCCAAAGTGTTGCGATCGATGTTTATGGAATCAGTCAGTCAGTTGCAACGTAGAACTTCGTACGTATGTACATAAGTTCATGTTGCCATACCACATCAGCACAGAGACGCAAATGTCAAATCAAATCCCATAGTGATAAAGATAGTAGAGGTATTAATGTTATAATAAAGAAGACTAGGGTTCGAAGATATTATTCAAAAAATATAATTCAGTGAGATAAGGTTAGAAGGACAAAGGTAGAGGTGCTGGCTAATCCAGAAGATTAGGATTTGAGAGAGCTCAAAGAGTGGATGCACCTGCGCCGTTGCAAACGATTCCGAGCCATGTCGTTCAAGGTCGCTAATCATTGGTGACTTTCGGCTCGCGGACCCCAACCAGGTAGCCTACATCTACCAACATGACTCAGTCCACTTGTCAGTGACTTCATGGCTTTGTGCCATGTTTTGGTCTGGCCGCCCCTAGCTTTCTTCCAACCTACTCCTACACCACAGTACATAGCTCGTCGGGGCAGTCGGTGGTTAGGCATACGTAACACATGTCCCAACCATCTCAACTGATGAAGTTTCACCACTTCATCTATTGGTCTGCCATCCTTACCTAGTTGATATTCAACAACAATATGTTGACGAGTTTTCCTGTTACTGATAGTAGAGCGATGCCTCTATTCTTTGTCTTCTCCGAAATTCTAATTTCCCGAATTAGAATGACCGTTTTTCTCCTTTTTTAAAATCGATTCTCTTGTTCTCGAATGATATCTTCGAAGACTAATTATTTTGATTACCACCGATATTTCTTCTCCCTCTGCTACCATGGGATTTGGATCGACCATTGTATCTATGTGTGCTTGCGTTATGGTAACTTGAACTGATGTACGTAATTACGAAGTTCTACGTTGTAGCTGACTAAATGTGTAGTTTTCACCAGCCTAGATATTTCTTTGCTTTCTTGATGAAGTGCTTGTTCTTCAGTAGAGCGTGTGACATCTTTGCAGTTACTAGGACGTCTGCTTTTAGTGCCTCAGCTGGAATATTGTCTGGTCTTGCTGCTTTGCTACTCTTAACTTCTCTGACAGTGAAGCTGATTTCCATTTTTGATGAGGTGATGCCTATTGGAAGGTCAGTATGCACTGAATATTTACAAAAATTTTCAGTTTTAAGTGTCGTTTTGCAATATTGCGTCACGCCTGTAGTTCTAAACAGCTGTATAGGTTTGGTATAAGTGTAACTTAAAATTTTATGAATAAACCTAAATTTGTTAGTATCAGATTAGCCTATATCATCTACAAGTTTGCGTTATAGTGATTTGTAAGTAGGTGATTCTGAGTTATCCTCAAAAAAGTAGGCACATTATATCAAAACCGTCTGATTATCATAACTACACCTGATTCTCGACATTGGGAGTTAACTTGGTGATATGTTAGTAAATCTGGCCACCAGATTTTAGCTTCGGATCTGATTGAGTGAACACTTCGAACATGATATTGAGTTGCAATTTTTATTGATGGAATAGTTTCCAAACCGAAAAGATTTCCACGTCTGCTGTTTTGGAATAAAATATATATGTAGACAATTGTTTTCATGTATGAAGTTCAAGTTTGTATCTAACAGTATAACAAATTATTATACTTCCAAAATTAAATATGCAATGAGACGATTTTAAATAAGCTGATTTATTTTAAATATTGCTCATTCTTTGTAATCTGATCATGGGCGTAAACATGAGCAAAAACTGAACAGCAGAAAGCAGTCATATTTGCTGTTGTACGATAATTTAACGCAATTATATGAAGAAACATAATAACTCTGTGACAATTATATTTGACAATAGTCAGTCAGTCAGTTACAACGTAGAACTTCGTACGTATGCACATAAGTTCATGTTGCCATACCACATTAGCACAGAGACGCAAATGTCAAATCAAATCCCTTAGTGATAAAGATAGTAGAGATATTAATGGTAATGAAGAAAACTAGGGTTTGAAGACATTATTCAAGAAGTATAATTCAGTGAGATAACGGTGAGAACCGCATCCCGAACATGCTTGCATTGTTGCTTAGGGTAGTCAGAAGACTCTGCATTTTGTCAGCATCTTCACCGAATAGAACTATGTCATCGGCATATTCTAGATCAGTAAGCGACTTTCCTGGTAGAAGGTCAACACCCCTGAAAAATCTGACGAGCTTAATGTTAACTCTAAGAGGATGTCTACGACAAATTTAAACAAGAATGGAGAGAGTGGACAGCCCTGACGGACACCACTTGAAGTAACTAATTCTGATGACAGTTCGCCATATGCTCTCACTCGACCAGTGGTGTTCGACTAGAGTGCTTGTATAAGGGTAATGTACTTCTTTGGTACACCTTTTAATGACAGACACTGCCACAGAACCTGACGATCCACTGAGTCAAATGCCGCTTTTAGGTCCAGAACACGACTATTGTCGGACGTCTAAATGTGTGTCTGTGTTCCAGGACCTGTCGTAGTGTGAAGATGTGGTCTATACAACCCACGTCCAGGTCGAAAACCAGACTGGTTTTCTCGAGTTTGCTCTTCACGAGCTTTCGTTAAGCGTCGAAGTATTACTGAGGCCAATATTTTTGATACTATATTAGTTAGACTTATTCCCCTGTGATTGTCACAACAGGACTTTTGTCCTTTCTTGTAGATTGGGACAATAGTCGACTGATATCAGTCAGATGGGATTACGTCCAGTTCCAAGATTCTACCTAGGATCTCGGTCAGTCTAACTGTTAAAACTGGACCACCATCCTTAAACATCTCAGGGGTAAGCCTATCAGGATCTGCTGCTCTACCCCGCTTCAGATTTCCTAACGCTTTTTCAACTTCATTAAGACTAGGGGGACTTACGTCGATTTGCCATTCAGGATGACTGGAGATCGTGGGCAACGGAAGAGTGGCTCGAGGCCAGTTGAACTGATCCCTAAAGTGTTCTGCCCATCGATCCAATCTCCTGGATTGAGAATGGATAAGAAGACCATCCTTTACCGAGATAGTCGGAAAATTTGTCTAGTGTTGCCTATCGCCGCTACCTTTTACATCGCTTTTGCTTTCGCCACCCACCACTGTTCGCGATCGTTACGTAGGCTTTTTATAGGTCTGCGCCTAAGTTGACTTCGTTCTTCATCATGTTCAGAGCCAGGTGGGATGAGTTTTCGAGCATCCATCAGATCGGTGGATGCTACTGAGATCCATAGCTTCATTCTAGCCTTATGATGAACCTTACTAGCAGATATCACTGCTGTTTCCACAGCCTTTTTGATATCATTCCATCCTGCTTCCGGATGGGAATCGCTTAAACGGTCGCCTAACTGTTTTTCTAGTTGTTCCTGAAATATATTCTTCGCCTTATTATCATTAAGTAAATCCCTAAGAGGCTTTCTTATGGCGTCTTTCCTGCACCGAGTAAGCTTCAAACAAATACGTGCTCGCACTAGGGCATGATCTGAATCTAAACATGTGCCCCAGAACGAGCGACAGCCTTCTATCGAGCCCCTCCATCGGTGGCTGATGGCGATGTGATCTAGTTGCGTCCAACGTTGAGATGACTTCGGGGGTCGCCAGGTCAAAAGATGTTTTTCCTTTTGCTTAAAATTAGTGTTTGCTAGAACTAGTTGGTTGTCTGAGCACAATTGCAACAGACGGTCGCCATTGTCTGTTCTTTGAGCCGCGACACCATAACATCCACATAGGCGTCTTTCATTTTCACTTAGTCTACCTACTTGAGCTTTGAAGTCACCAGCCATTATAACTATATTAGAGCGCCTAATTTTTTGGAGGAGGTCCGAAAGCTTTCTGTAAAACTCATCTTTTACATCGTCTGAACTGCAGTCAGTGG